TTTCAACCACTGTTAAGGCCTTAAACGGCAATAAGACAAAATTTATTAAATTTACAATACCCAATGTAAACCATTCTAATATAAATGTGCTTTTAAATGGGGAGGAGTTGAGTCTTGTGGATACCATTGTTGTTCTTGGTATTACTATTGAAACTTCAATGGGGCCCCCGTATATCTAAATTAGCAAGCAGACTCAATTCTACAGCATATGCTGTAAGAATGATTAGAAGTCTCACAGTTGTTGAGACAGCTAGAGTAGTTTATTTTAGTTACTTACATATCTTCCCATGAATATCGTAAGAGGCGACAGAGGGAAACTGAAGCAGAAGATGGGCAGCAGCATCTTTCTGATAAAACCAAAAGGCAATAAAAACTGCGGTTGCCAACCCACTCGCCAAGAGTGGGAACTACGGCAGTATACCTCCACCCCCATGAGCAACGACACTAATAAACGTCCAGCAGTCCCCGGCGGCACCACTTCCTGGCTACGGTGGCGACCATGGTAACAGTTGGGCAGGGGGTGCTAAGAATCTCCAGTGGAGGTTCGGTTGCCACCTACGACAACTCGACCTGGCAACTTATAACGCTCGCACCCTGAGGACTGACGAGAAGATCCTGGAGCTGGAAGAAGAGATAGACAAGTTGCGCTGGAATATTATATATATGATTATTCGAGGTCCGAAGAGAGGGGGAGGACACGATTAGCCTCGAATCCGGCATCTTGTTATATCACCGGGAGGGCGACCATCTGTCCCAAGGAGGTGTCCGATTTATCGTCCACATGTCTCTCCTTAACAACGTTGTAAAGATTGGGAGTGTGTCGATGAGGGTTGCGTACCTTATACTCAGAATCACCAAACGGTATTCGCTGAAGGTCATACATGTTTACGCACCAACCTCGGCATATCCCGATGAGGAGGTGGAGGAAATGTATAAGGATATCTCTAGAGCCATGCGTTCCTCCAAAATCCACTATACGGTGTTAATGGGAGACTCCAACGCAAAACTAGGCACAAGAGAGAACGGTGAGCTGAAAGTAGGGAAATTCGGAATAGGGCAACGGAACCCAAGGGGCCAGCAGCTGGTCGACTTCATGGAGAAAGAGGGACTTTTTATGATGAACTCTTTCTTCCAGAAGTGGCCCCACAGGAAGTGTACCTGGTCAAGCCCCGACGGTTCGACAAAAATGAGATTGACTTTATTATGACGTCTAGACGGCAACTGTTCAGTGATGTCTCAGTGATCGCGAGGGTGAAAACCGGCAGCGATCACCGAATGGTGTGAGGCACACTGAACCTAAACGTTAAGTTGGCTCCAAAGTCTTTACCAGAGATCTCTCTGCCAGAAAAAGCCAACTGTTAAAGTTGAAGACCGAGTGTGGCAGCATAGTTTCCGCGACACCTGAGATTTTGAGTGAAATTGCGAGGTTCTATGGGCAAGTATCTCCCTTACGAGTGAGGCCTATGTTCTGAAGTAGACTTTGATAGACTGTAAACTGGAGAAGACATTCGATGTTTCAAATAAGTATGGTTGTCTTTTTTTTTAATTCAGCCTTATTTGAATAAAAAAGTATAAATATTTTTCTCTAATAAATACGGCGGTGTAGTTTGCATACAGATTAATGCAACAGAAGTACACTCGCGGGCGTGGAGAAGAGTATAAGAAGCGAAGAAGACGAGCAAAACACCTACATAAGAGAAAGAAAAGATCGTACGAAGAACAACAACTGCGTGAGATTGCATCTAGTTACACACAAAAGGAAACTAGAAACTTCTACAACCAAGTAAATGGGGGACGGAAAGAATTCAAACCCAGAACCACGGCGTGTAGAAGTAAGAATGGACAGCTACTTAATGATAAAGATGAGATCGTTCAAAGATGGGCTGAATACTTTCGTGAACTCCTTAACAGTTCAGTGCAGACTCGTCCACTTTCTGTACCAGTACCTGAAGCTCTACTAAAGAATCAAGAGACTGATGAATCTTTGTACCCCACTATAGAAGATATTAAACGAGCCATTCAATCCATTAAAAATAACAAATCTCCGGGAATGGACGATATCCAAGGCGAACTTATAAAGTATGCCGGAACTGGTTTCGAGAAAGAGTTTCACCACCTGGTGCTCCAAATTTGGAACAATGAAAAAATGCCTGATGATTGGAATACATCTGTTATCTGTCCCCTACATAAGAAAGGCGACATATTGGATTGCAATAATTACCGAGGCATATCTCTCTTGAACACCGGTTATAAAGTTTTTGCCAATATGCTTTTTAATAAACTAAAGCCATATGTAGAATCCAGCTTGGGAGAGTATCAGTGTGGGTTCCGTCCAAACAGGTCCACAGTAGACCAAATCTTCTCGCTTAGGCAGATCCTTGAAAAAACGTTTGAGTACAATGTGAATACTCACCACCTTTTCGTAGACTTTAAGGCTGCCTATGACAATGTGCACAGAAGTTTCTTGTATCAGGCTATGATGGAGATTGGCATCCCAACAAAACTCGTGCGCCTGACGGAGATGACTCTTAGAAACTCTCAGAGCGTTGTTAGAGTTCAAACAAATGTATCAGAGCCCTTCAGAACCAATGACGGCTTAAGACAAGGGGATGCGCTCTCGTGCCTACTGTTCAACATCGCTCTCGACAAGTGTATTCGCGACTCAAAGATCGAGACCAAAGGCACTATCTATCACAAATCTGTTCAAATCCTAGGATATGCGGATGACCTCGACGTGATAGGAAGATCTCTACCTGCAATGGAGAGTGCATACCTTGCTCTTGAAAAATCAGCTGCGGAGGCTGGTCTCCAAGTTAACATGGCTAAGACTAAGTACCTGAAAGCGTCAAAAGACCAGCAAATTCTACTACAAGGAGTTAATATTGGCAACAACACCTTCGCTAGGGTCAATGATTTCGTATACCTGGGATCCTTAGTAACCGATAACAACGATGTGTCTTCAGAAATAAGTAGGAGAATAATGGCGGCTAACAAGTGCTACTTCGGACTACTAAGATACTTACGTTCGAAACTTCTTTCAAGAAGCATAAAACTTCTCTTGTACAAAACCTTACTAAGACCTATACTCACCTACGGTTCCGAATGTCGGGTGCTGAGCAAAAAAGACGAAAACTCCTTGTTGGTATTTGAGCGGAAAATACTAAGACGCATTTTCGGAGCTGTGATGGAAAATGAGAGATGGCGAACGCGTTATAACCACGAGCTATACCAAATGTATGATGAGCCAAACGTAATTAAGACCATAAAGATCGGACGCCTGCGTTGGGCAGGGCACGTGTTGCGAATGGACGAGGCCAGAGTACCCAAACGCCTTTTAGAAGGCCGACCGGAGGGCCGCAGAAGTCGAGGCAGGCCCAAGCTCAGATGGTTGGACGGCGTCGAACAAGATATCAAGATCTTGGGAATAACAAGTTGGAGAAGGAAAGCCTCTAACAGATCGGACTGGAGAGCTTTGCTGGACCAGGCTAAGGCCCACCCGCGGTTGTAATGCCTCAGATGATGATGATGAGTTTGTACACCAGCTTAAATGAAAGCTTAAGGCATTTTACGTTACGGAGAGTTGATTAAAATATTATTACAATAATACCTACAAATAAACTATAATTATTTGCATAAATACATGCATGACTTTCATGTAAGAATTAGCTTTCGGTTTAAGTAAATAATATAAAACATTCACGATAAAGATGTATCTTAGTCATGTACTTATGATCTAAGTTTGATAAAGGCAAAATGTTGCAGCACATAATTTAATCTTTAGGTAATGATTTGTTAAGATTGATTGCCTAATACACACGGCAGTTATAACTACTTCCTTTTATATACAGATGCGTTCAAATATCGCATATATTGTACAATATTAAATTAAAAAGGTAAGTGGTGGCAATTTGTCTTTTTTTATCAATGTTATAATATATAAAATTACGCAGGAAAACCATCTCGTAGTATTTTATATTTTTTGTTTCAGATAGCAATGAAGGTTATCTATACAATTACAGCTATGTTAGCAACTGTTGCTACGCAAATATCTGCAAATTGTGCTAATTTTAACCCTGGTCAAGATGCATTAGCGAATGCCTTGCAAAATATATTCTCTTCAGCAAATACAGACAAAGCTATGAATATGATACAAATGGCAGCTAATCGACAAGTTCATAACCCTGCTCCATGGAAGGAAGAAAAAATAGTAAACATTGATGCAGCTCCACCTAATCGACGAATCGTACCTATTGGAACCTTTCAAAGACCGGCCGCACTCAATGCAGGGCAATTTGTCAAGCAAGCACCCCCGAATATTGCATTAAATTTACAAAATCTGGCAGAATTGATTTCTTTAAATGCCAAGGCGTCGCAAAATCCTGTCATGCCTGAAATTGCGATGCCTAATATGCCAATAATTATTTTAACAACAAGTGATATTCCTCAAGCACCTATCACTAAAGACGTTAGCTGCCCTTGTGCTTCACTAACTCCTTTAGTTAATCCATTTTGGCCTGCCGCATCTCCTGTCTCAGCTTGGACTACACCTAGATCGAGTTTATTACCTCCAGTCTCTCAACCACGAGGACAATTCTTGAGAAAAATACCCATTCCGCCGCCAACACTTTAGTTTTAAAGTATTCATGTATTTATTTTCTTATTTAATTCTAGCTTAGGTCAATAAATTATTAAAATATTTTTATATTTTAGGCAATAAATAATAACAATTTAATGAAATATTTTATTTGTAAGCACGATTTACTTTCTTTTATACTGTTAGGAATTGATCGATATCAAAATATTAACATTTCATTGACATCACCACGTTTATGTTAGACGATTATGCAGTGTATATGGCAATATCGAAATATAAAAAACTTATGAAAATATTGTGAAAAATAGATTTAATGTTGCTTTTATAGATAAGAATATAGTATTTATAAGGTCAATTGGTTTAGAATACATACATTACTAAGATCGACTTTTTAAAACAAACAAAAATGATTATAAAATTCATAGCGTTTGTAACTGTTATTAGTCAAGTGAGTATTTATGTACATGCTTAGAAAAGTTTTAAAATTATTATATTTATGTAAATATTAAAGACCTATTATAGGAAACTAAAATTTGATGTTTTTGTTTCAGGTGAATAGCCAATTCTATCAAGTTACTCGGCCATGTCTTCAAGGAGGTATGTCCAAATCAAATCCAGCCTTTGCAGTTTCACCAACATTTGTCAAAGCTCAGAAGCAACCTCAACAGATGTTAGCAAATTCTAACGTAATTTTTTCAAATCAACCCTTTTTACAAATTAGTCCTATAGAATATACAATAACTAGTCCCACAAGTTTGCTCCAAAGTTTGCCTCTACCTATTGCGACCCCAGCGCCAAAACCTTGTTGTCCTCTTTCACCAAGTATAGAAGTATGCTTGCCGGAAGTGGAACCAGTGTTTGATTTTACTTTGGGATGCTTAGATCCTATATTAAAATATTACAGCACGATAAATGAAGTACCAATACCACATATACCACCTTGTGGCTCAATTAATCCTTTTCTACCTGCTGCTTCACCAGTTACTCCAGTTTCAACGGCATTACCTTCGGAGTGTTCGTGCCACTTTCTAAAGAAAATTTCAATACCCCCGCCTTTCATATGAATAAGTTTAATATTATGTTTAGTTAATTTTGATTATTTAAGCGACAAAATATAATAATGAAAAATATACGATGAAATTAAAAAAAATTAAAGGAATAATATTTTAATGTCTTTTTTTATTTGAAAACCTTACCAATTTTATTAATTTAATTAGGTTTGATTAAGTAGTTTCTCTATAGAATTTTATAGATGCATTGATATTTAGTTCAATCTTCGTTTATAACACAAATGACATTGCTAGTTGCAATGTAAAAAAAAGTTAGACGTTTAAAATAATACATTATATTATGTAAACCGACCGGTTATATAGAATTAAAAATAAGAATATGATTTTCACGTACTTCTGAAGTCGGTGCTAAGACATAGTGTATCGAAGAATTGAAGACTTCAGAAGTTATTATGTGTAAATTTTTATTTTCAGTCCTTCAATATCGAAGCCTACGGACGCGAGCGACTTCGACCACCTAATCCTAGGCCCACCCTACACGTGTCCCCCGGGTGGTGCTAAACGAGCGACAAAGCCGAAAGAACTGACTCGGCTCCTCGCCGTGTGGTAGCGGCGTAAAAAATACCACAACTTACTTTCGCACCATGAGGCAAGATATTAACGAAATGGCCTCGAGTTCCTTCAATATCGACTTTTACTTTTTATTAAAAGCTAATTTTTTACTCTTTTGAGTGAATGAAGGAATATTATAATCTCGAGTGTAGTCGAAATACTTCATTCTTAACAAGCTTAAAGGTTAAAACGGTAATTTAGAAAACCCGACTGCGTAAAAAAAGTTTACTGAAAAGAGAAAATATTTATGACAAAGAAATAAACAAACATTTAAATAGATACTCTCGAAAAACATTACCCTTTTTTTTGTGCAGTCGGGTAAAAACTTTAATAAAGGTGAAATTTTTTCTTCAAACTTACCTAAAATTTAAAAATAATAATTAAAATTCGGTTGATAATTAACGAAAATAATATATATACAAAAAAGAACATACAGGCGTATTAAGAATTTTCTCTTATTTTTAAGTCAGCTAAACACAAATTTCTAGTATCCAGTGGCATAGCATGATATATGATGATAGCATGTGTTCTGTTGTTGCCAAAATGTCGTCCCCAACCTAATGAATAAAACAGTACAATAGTACTGTAAGTATGTGAGTGCGAATCATCTCTATTTTCAGAACTCCTGCGGCTCCGTGGCGCAGTGGCTTAGCAGTGAGTTGCTGCGCTGGGGGACGCGGGTTCGTATCCCGTACGGAACAAGTATTTGTATGGCCTACAAATAATTGTTCCGGGTCTGGATGTTTGTCCTTGTCGAGGAGAAAATCCTAGTGTGAGTGTAACGTTTTTAAAAACAAGGAAAAAAGAAGAAAAAGAACTGTCAATGCTGAGTACAGTGTTAGTATTAAACTAACTAAAATTAAAAAATCATTCAATAAGAGCGGTACGGTTTCTTTATTCATGTGATAAGAGCTATTTTTAGTCGTGAACAACGTAGGCATATTATTCGATTGCTTGTATAGGTGGTGGTAACAAATAGGACTTTTTTTTTTAAATTGGGACTATTGTATGCCTTAAGCGCAAAGCGCGTAGGTATGTTCTACTAGCGCCTAAGAATCAAGATTCCAACGTGTTGTCGCATAAAATCGTATCTAACAATCATATTGAACATACTCGTATAAATTATATAAAAAGCACATTGAAAGATAAATGATTGTTGAATTTATTAATTATTATTAAATGGATTAATTGCTATTTTTACACGAAAAAAGTGGTTTTATTGGCTTATGGTGTAGATTTATCAAGTCCGCATGGAGGGGTAAACACGATAACTTTTGAAAATATCAATTGTTCAAATAATGATTTCTTATATTTACGCGAAGACTACACATTAAATTAAACTAATTTTTACGGATTTTATCGCGTTTAATTACATTTTTTGATTCACGATGTTTCGGGTGCTTTAGACCCAGGGTCACGTGGGGGACTGAGGTGTTTGACGTCCCGATGTCATAATTAGCATGGCTACCTTCAGTTTTGGAATATTAATTTTTGCTCCGATCTACGCAGAATGAGCTTACAGTATCTTGAAGTCTTGCAGTGGTATGCTTGGGTTTGATTTCATTTTATTAATTATAGGATCCCAAGCAGATGGCAGCAGCCATCTATCTTCTCTATTGAAATTAGGATGTTTTGTAACTTCAATAGCCCTTGGTAGGAATCGATGTTCTTTTGCGAGGGTTCATGGTCTATTAAATCTAATGTAATGGTGGGGACGATCTTGAACATGTTCATACACTGCAGACTTCCCGGAACGTCGTTGCTTCAAGTCAGCTATATGTTCTTTTAAGCGGGTTTTTATAGATCTTTTTGCTTGTCATATGTAAGAGAGACCACATTCACAATCCAGCTTGTATACTCCTGCATCTTGTAGAGGGATATGACACTTGAGGAATGGTAAAAATTCTGTGACCCCCCTGATATAGGGTAGTACTTAGTTCTGCAGCATATGCTGTAAGAAAGATTAGAAGTCTCAAAGATGTTGAGACAGCTAGATTAGTGTATTTTAGTTACTTTCATAGCGTAATGTCTTATGGAATTTTGCTATGCGGTAATGCGACTGATATTGAAGCTATATTTTTTTTTGCAAAAGAGAGCCGTACGGGCGATTTATAACCTAAATTGTAAAGAGTCCCTCAGAGAAAAATTTAAAGAAATAAACATATTAACTATGGCATCGCAATATATATATGAGAATGTAATGTATGTGCATAAAACATAAATAGCTTTAATAAGAATAAGGATGTGCATACTTTAAACACTAGGAACAAACATAAGCTTGTAATGCCAGTTACCAGACTTCACAGAAGCAGTAATTCATTTATGGGGCAATGTATACGCTCTTACAACAATATACCAGAACATATTCAAAGTTTGTCAATAAACAAATTTAAAAGTTTTATTAAAGAAAAACTGTACAAAAGGGTTATTATAATATCAAGGAATACATGAATGAAAATAACCCCTGGGAATAAGGTGATCGCCACCATGCTGGTTCTATGAAAAATCATTTAAAAATTGTATAAACGAAGTTATTGTTAAGTGAAATATGTTTGAAAAAAAAGTCCCGCTGGGTTTCTTGCTGGTTCTTCCCAGGACTGGGGTGTTTTCCGGACCAGTGGTAAATAAAAAATAACTTTCAATAAGTATTATGTAATAATCAATATTGAATAAAAAAATATTCTATTCTATTCTATTCTACAGCAGGTACCTACACGCTCGACCGTGGCCGACTTCACTCGGTCACTGTGACGTAGGCGTGAAAAGCACCTGAAACGTCGGAAATTAAAAAGTTAAACGCGATAAAATCCGTAAAAATTAGTTTCACTTAATCAATTGTCAACTTAGTCTATTTTTTATCTCTGTGGAAAATATGGGAAGCCATGGAATGTAAATGGCAGCTTAATTTTGTTTTCTTTAGTTATAATTTTTTTTTTCGGCTGAGAAATCCCGACATTTTCGGTGCTTTGAGCAGCCTTGTATTAATTTATTTTACTAAATACATTTTACCTCACTCGTCACTCCGCGCTCAGCCACCGTTGTGAGTGGATTACTGTATCGTTAGTTTACAGCGTCTCGTGCTGAATAATATCGATCGGTGTATAAATACAAAATATTCCAAAAACCAAATATGATACATACTAGAACAAGCTTATTATTTTTATAATCACAGATTATTTTACAATATTATTATTATTATTTGTTTCGCTAAGCGTACGTAACATTTCTATCACCTGAAGGTGTACTTCAGTATCTCCTACTGGTGTGCCGAGATTGTGCTCGTTATAATAGTTATGATCAGATCTTACACCCGGACTTGATAGAGTGACCTGAATGTGTACTGCGGTGAATGCTACTGGAACTCCTCAAAGAGTAGAATTACGTGTGCCGAGTTTGGCCTCGTTTTGTTAGTTATGATGAGACCTTACCTCCTGACTTGATAGTGTGACCTGAAGGTGTACTTCGGTGATTATGAAGTGACGTGTGACGATTGGAACTACAATTTACAATGTTTTTTAATTTTTTCTCGATCATATAAGCATTATGAGTCGTGCACTTTTGGAAATTCCGAGCTTTTTTTATTGAAGTTTGACAAAAAAATTATCGGAAAATTGGAAGAATAGTAATAATTATATATATATATATATATATATATATATATATATATATATATATATATATATATATATATATATATATATATATATATATATATAATTACTAAACTACTTTAAAAATTTACGTACAATCATGTTATACGTGATTTTTAATGCGCTTAAGGCATGCGCAATTGAATTTATCAGTAGTTTTATTTTATGTATATTACGATTTATAGTTTCGTTTGTTCGTTTCTATATTACTTTTTGTTTCGTACTAATGTTACTAGACTGAATCCAATTTCTTTTATTAGAATAAGAATTGTCGTAAAATCTATTGTGGCACACTGTTCAATACCTACAGGAAAATAACATCTAAGATGATAGGATTATTTACTTTATATTGCACGATTTGATGTGTTTGTACCTACTAATAAATTTATGTAATATAACGGTTTGTTAAGAAATCTATAAAATTACTATAAGTAATTTATAGTATCCATCGGCTTCTATCCATAGTTAACTGCTTGTGGTTTCTGGACTAAAAACTTTTTTTGTTGTATTAGAGTTTTAACATTTCGAATAATAAAAAAATCTAACAATAACACAATTCATATAAAAAAAACAACAGGGACTCCTTTAATTACTAGAAAAACTTTTTTCGTAATGTCAAATCGACATACAAGACGTTTACGACCGCCGCTAAGACGAAATCAGTTGAGAGCACCTGCCTTACCCACCTGGTATTGGTACTTAACGGTGCGAAAGTATCCAGCCAGCTTAGCATGAGTGTATGGACTAAAAATCATGGAATCAATTATTTGACGTATTCTATAAAACGTTTATAACCAGTAGAGAATTTAAAAAGCTGATAAGGATAAGTTCAGCTGCATGCATTTTTTTTTCAAATTTTAAATAATCTAAGTTTGTAAAGTTTTAACAGTTTGGCGGAATGTATGTATGTATATAAATTTCGCAAGGACAAACATCCAGAGAGTGCGGAGTCCGAACCAGAGCGGAGGCCCTCAGCGCCGCAGCACATTGAAGATGAAATTTAAAAGAAGCTTAGAATGTATTTTAAAGTTAGTGTAATATGCTCAAGCGGTTTTAAGTATTATTACGTTTTAGTAAGATAAACACAAAATTAACTTTTTATAGTATTGGTTTAGAATAAATTTCTAATATAAAATAATTGAACAAAAAGAATAACTATATCAGAGATATAAAGATAGTTTTTTCACTAATAATTGATATTAAATGAAACAAAATTTCTATACACATGGCGTTAAAATTGAACGTGATAAAATTAGTATTCAATTTATATTTAATGGATATAGAACTACGAGTGAACGCATGAAATAAAGTGAATTGGGCTCTACACTCTATTGTGGAAAGTTAGAATGTGTCCAAAAAGGCACGTATGGCAATTCACAATGCTGTTCCTACTTTAATGTAGAAAAAAATGTAGTGAAAGTTGGGTGTAGCAGAAGAAGCACGAGAGGAAAGTAAATGCTGTAGAAATGCAGTCATTAAGGAGTATGTTAGGGCTGAATCTGAATGACAGGATGTGAAATTGTGTGATAAGAGAAAAGTGTGGTTTGCAAGATGATGTTGTGACCAGGATTAAGAAAGGAATGCTTCGGTGGTTTGGTCATGTAGAAAGAATGAATGAGGAAAGAGTGACAAAGCAAATTTATGTTGCAGAGGTGAACGGTAGAGTCGGGAAGGGACGCCCTAGGTGAAAGTTTATCGACCAAATTGGCGATATATTGAAAATGGGCCTTTAACAGACGAGCGTGTATGCGTAGGTATATGGATGTGGAGGAAGCAAGAGAGGTGTGTGTGTGTTTTCTACGTGGTAGAGCCATGCTGCAGCTATATTATGGTTGTAGCACGAATGGGTCGGCTCGAACGGGGAAGGACATACAAAAACCAGCGTAAAATAGCAGCTTAACGCTACTGTGTTTCGTATGGTGAGTGTAGAGAACCGGAGACCCTTTTTACTGGCAAAGAGGCATTCCATCTTAGTCCTCACGGATGACAACGCATCTGCATCTTGAGTCTTTATTGAGGATAGATGTAGATGTCTATGGGTCACAGTAACCACTTACCATCAGGTGGACTGTGTGCTCGTTTGTCACCCGATCCTATAAAAAAAAAGGATCGTGCCAAATGGAAGTCCATAGTCTCTGCCTACCCATCTGGGTGGCAGGCGTGAGTGTTTATGTTTTTTTTTTATGTTATATAATGTATATTATTCGCGTAAAATAAATCATAATATTATTGGATATTTATAAATACGCTAGAAGAAAAACTGCTTCCCTAGGAGCAGTGACTTTAATGACGTACCTAATGATGATGATGGTTATCTAGAAGCAATGTGCCCGAAACATAGAATTAATTTTAATATTTTATTAAGATCTAGTACTCAGTCCCTTTTGTCTTGTATTGAACAATTATTGTGTAAGTTTCGGTGATGCCTTCTATATTATAATTCCATTAATTTTATGAATATGCCGCAAATATAATTTAACAAGCTGGCTCGTCGGACATTGTTCTGTGTTTTTCGGTAGGTGGCGTGATGAATGTACTCCGAATTTACTTAGGACTTTTAACGTGTAAATATAAAATTTATTAATAACTTGACTACAGCACCACGTATTGGATTCTTGTATAGCTATTTATTTATTTATTTATTTTCACCAATGATATGCATTCAGAAAACAACAAAAAATATGTGCTTACATCTGAAACAATACTATTGTTAGGTGAAAAACTGGTGCCTAAACTAGGTAAAACCTGTATATTAGGTCACCAGGTGTGAACCATCTATGAACTATCGTCTCGACAAAACAAATATAATATATAGGGTTATTTTCCAGACCGCTGAACAGCGATGACCGATGGTTTTAATAATTCTAATTTTGGGCTGATATCCTAACATTCTGGGGTAGGCGCAGGAACTTTGGATTGAGTACGGCTACCCGGCCAACCTATATAAGTTAATGATATTGCGTAAGCAAGATTTCTATCATTCAAGTGGTCCATAAGTTCCATGATCACTAACAGACGCACGATCACCAACGATTCAAGATTATACTACAAAAAAAATATATATTTTAGGCAGTAGTTTATCGCATTTGAAAATCCTCCATAGATAATGTTCATGAGTGATGGCGATCTCTTACCATCAAGTAAGCCTCAAGCACGTATTTCCCTTTTGTATAAAAAGTATTAAAGATGAATATGTAGTGGAGTAGTGGGTATTCTTACCCGCCACTACACGGGATATATATATCTTTACATATATATATATATATATATATATATATATATATATATATCTTTATATATAAAAATTACCTGTTACATTGTTTGTCCGCGATGAACTCTTAAACTACTGAACTGATTTCAATGAAATTTTGCACTCTGTGTGCAGTTTGGTTCAACTTGACAGATAGGATAGTTTTTATCCCAATAAGTGACCCTCAATTTTTTTATTGCTAATCTCAGGAGGTTTTTTAGGAAAGCAAATGGTCGTCGGAAAGGCAGAACAAAGTCTGCCTGGTCAGCTAGTATATATATATATATATATATATATATATATATATATATATATATATATATATATATGTAATATTATCATTCTATTTAATATATGTATGAGCTGGACAAAAGACTCGTACGGACAAACCTCCACACTAATTAAGGCCGAGCTTGCAACAAGCAAGGTTCCATTCCCGCCAACACCAATGAAATGTCACGTGTACGTTGAAGGAAAGCATCGTGAAGAGACCTGCATGTCTAAGGAATTAAAAAAATCGAAGAGGTGTAGTCGACTAAAACGTATTGAGTTAGCGTGCGGCCACTTTTTTTCCTTAAACACTGATGAGTCCTGCGCTTTGTAATAGGACGTATATAGGCTGTAACTTTACTTTTTTAACACAATATTATCTAACAATTAGGTAATCTCATAGTTGCAGGAGTGATGGAGCGAGAAAAATACCATACGCTGCTGCAATTCGAATTTCAAATGATCACATCATGTTCACTGTCGAATTATTGTGAAATCGTTTTGCAATAACAAGTGATAAATTGAAATGAGTTAGATAAAAAGCTTTCTTAACACGCGTTATCTAAAATGAGTGAAGTAAATTCGTAATTATATTTAACATTTTGTTTATCATTTCTTACAAAGAATATTATAAAATTCTGTGATCTTTGTGATTAATCACGCGCTTCAAGATAAATTACGAATACATAAAGTGTTTGAAGTATACTATCTGTCATTAAGAAGACAATATTGTTAAGAGCAGAAGAATAAACCAGTAAAACAAAATGTACAAAATTACCTTAATCGTGAATATTGTAGTTATATCGGTAAATATTTTTTTATTATAAATATATCAAACACACCTATATTAATACCAAGATAATTAGACTCGAACTACTACTTCTACATTATGGTTTGCAACTACAGCATGGCTCTACCACGTAAACTATGCTGCAGTTATATTAATAGTATAGTTGTAGCACGAATGGGTCGGCTCGATCAGGGAAGGACCACGCTCTCACAGAATACCAGCGTAAAATAGCAGCTTAATGCTGCTGTGTTTCGTATGGTGAGTGTAGAAAACCAGAGACCCTTTTTACTGGCAAAGAGGCATTCCATCTTAGTCCTCATGGCTGACAACGCATCTGCATTTTAATTCGCAAACGATGATAGATGTAGATGTCTATGGGCCACAGCAAACACTTCAGGTGGAATGTGTGCTCGTTTGTCACCCTTATTTTATAAAAAAAAAGACAAAATAAACACATCCACAATACTATGAAAAGCCTCTGTGTCATAAACTATAGAGTTGCTATTTTAGAATATTAAACTATAAGATAATGGTACTGTCGAAACAATGCATTTACTTACACTACAGCTATCTTGTTCCAATTATTAGTTTCAGCCTATATACGTCCCTCTCCTGAGCACAGGCCTCTTCTTATTTCTGTGAGGGCTTAAGTTCACATGTCATCTCATGTTCAAAATATTTTTTTTAATTTCTCAGACAGGTTTCTTAACTTAACTTAAATGATTTCCTTCACCGTGAGACACGTGGTAAATCAATGCTTAAAATTGCTAGTAACAATTTCACTGGTGCCGTCGGGTGCTCGGCCCTGTACCATGGTTCTTGCTGAAATACTGCTACGTAAATAGGATAAATATGAATTTTAGAATAATAATTTCAGCTCCTTCCGTAGTCAAGGTTCTCGTGTGCATAATTAATATTTTTCTTTTTTTCAGACTGTTGCGTCACAACATATAACACCAAAGAGATATGTTATGCAGAATATAAATAATATATCACCGAATAAAATGTACCAAGTACCATCTTCAAGTCCAAGTATATTATCGCAATACAAAATTGTATCCATACCCAAGCAAATGGTATATTCAGTACAAAATGCATCTAACAGAATACAACGTAAAACAAATAAAAATGATTTACTAGCGAAGAAATTGAGGTTGGCGGCTGTGCAAAACGTTATGGCTGCTGTAGAAGCTAGCGGTGCAGAAAAACAATCAGCTAATCTCCTAAGAAATGCACGTTTATCGCTTCATTGACGCCAGTTCATTTAGGTTTCCTGTTGTTTAATTTATTCTTAAGTTACTTTAATTTAAATTTATATTTAAATGATCTAATTTTAATCAATGAAATAGATTTATGTTAATTTATTATACATCTATTTAATATTTATTTTTGTAAATTATGTAATAAATTGCTCATGATAGGTTTTGCTTTTTTTTTCGTTGGTGCATCTGTTAGCGATTGTGTAACTTCTGAACATCATTACGTCATTAAAGCTTTCCTCAAGTCCACTGCCGGACATAGGCCACATCCAAGGAATGTCGAAAAGCTAGGGTTTGGGCCACCTTCATCCATCGACTTCCAGGAGCTCTTACCAGGCCGTCACTACATCTTGTAGGGGGTCGCACATCGCTTCGCTTACCGATACGAGGCTGGCATTTAAGAACCTTTTCTTCCCCAACGGTTGTCGGTTTTTGAACTTATATTGCCGGCCTAATGTCACTCAGCTTAATTATCCGTTGGGATACTTCAGTTACTCTAGATCTTCTACAGATAACTTCATTTATAAGTGTATCACGCAGAAAAGATCCGAGCATAGCTCTCTCCATAGCTCGCTGATCAAACTTGTGATTGGCTTGGCCCCGCCTAAGGGTATTAGTGTTCTGTGGGTTTGAACGATTTAGGTTACATTCTCATTTCTTGTCGAGACGATGATTCATAGCTATCTGTAAGCTATCTGTCTTATATAAGATCCGATAGGTGGCGCTATGTTCGAGTTATTAATAATTTTATATTGACACTGTAAGAAGTACGCCAACGTACGTAAGAAGTAGCCGTCTATACGGGATATGATTATAGTGCCCGAGTGTATGCGCTAGCACAGGTGCACTTCCTATTGCTTCACTCTCATAGTCCTATAGGACGGTAATCCAACACGACCAGCAGGGCTATTCACAATCGTCTCGGAAAGCGAAATCGACTCGGATTCGATAACTTCTCGCACCGAAACCAATAAACGCTATTTAACACTTAACGTTCGGATAAAGGTCACTTAGATACATCCTATAACTATTGTATCGTCATTTAGTTACATGCATTTACGAATTTTGTAGATAAATAGGCTTTTGTATTTTTTTAGAGTAACGCCTAAACAAAAACATAAGGCAATATTTTGGTGTTAGCCATTGATATCGAATATAAAAAATATATAATTTAACTATATAATAAATAACAAAAAAACTGAGATATGTCTCGTTTCTGTCGGGTCTGGGTTTTTTTCTATGGGGCGTGACCGTACTTCTTTGACGTTTGTTTTCGTTAATTGTGACAGTTTGCATCGGAAACTTTACGAGAGCTCTGAGGCTGGCGAAAACTTTTCGAATATTGATGATTAGAAGAGATAAATAAACCCTTTTAATTATAAGGTTGGTAACAAAAATTAATTACAATTATCTATAAGACGTATTTTCATATAATTACTTCAATATTTGCACTTAATCGTAAAGCTGAATTTTTGTGAAAGGTGTGTTTTTATAAGTTTTCTATCACAAAGCAGCATATATATACTGCTTTTGTGAAACGAGACATATCTCAGATTTTTTGTTATTTATTATATAGTTAAATTATATATTTTTTTATATTCGATATCAATGGCTAACACCAAAATATTGCCTTATGTTTTTGTTTAGGCGTTACTCTAAAAAAATACAAAAGCCTATTTATCTACAAAATTCGTAAATGCATGTAACTAAATGACGATACAATAGTTATAGGATGTATCTAAGTGACCTTTATCCGAACGTTAAGTGTTAAATAGCGTTTATTGGTTTCGGTGCGAGAAGTTATCGAATCCGAGTCGAATTCGCTTTCCGAGACGATTGTGAATAGCCCGGCAGAGTGAGGTTAGGCGCAGGACCAACGGCTTTACGTGCTTTCGTGAGGTGAAACAGAAACAGAAGACGAGAGAGAGTTACAGTTCTATATGGTAATAGGGGTGGTATGATGACCCCCCCCCATTTTCGAGTGGATATATAATACTCATTCTAGTGGCTAATCTACCCGTGATTATAGTATCTATAAGCGTTAGGACAACATCGGAGTGAGATCATAGTATACCAATTCAAAACGAGAGACATAGTCAGAGACGCTAGAACAGCAAACACGAAAACCAAAAATTTGTATTTTTCAAACGACTATTGCAATCAGCGTGGATTCTAACGCAGGGCATGCTGCCTAGTAAATAGGTGCTCTGACGACTAGGCGACATAGTTGTGAAATTAAAATTGATTAAATATGAAATTAAATCAACTAAAAACAAAAAAAAACAATGCGCTTGCCAACTCGCTTGGCTCGCGTGTTAACTGTGGCAAATATGCCGCCTATGAGCCAATCTATGGAGAAGGCTTATGTCCAGCAGTGGTCTTTAATTGATTGTATCCGTAATGCTAAAGCTAGCAAATTAAATTTAATTATTTTAAATTCTTTAACATTACCATAAAAAGTAAATAACTTTATATATTTTTTTAATCATTTGAGTTTTTAATGTACGTAATATTAAGTATACAGTAAAATGTAGGTACATTGCTATTTATAAGCAATAATATTTTTTTTATTCAACTAAGAAACTAAATATTAACTATACGAAATATTTCTAACGCTTTTCAGCGGCAGCGTGGCCGAGTGGTCTAAGGCGCTGGTTTTAGGCACCAGTCCGAAAGGGCGTGGGTTCGAATCCCACCGCTGTCAAACGTATTTTTTATTATTAAATAATAAAAAATAAAATAAATCAGATTGAATGAAAAAAATCAGTTTTTAAATTTAATACAAAAAACATACAAACACACATACTGAATCAAGAATGACATTTATATTAAAAGAAAATATTAGGTAAAGTTAAAGTTATATTAAATTTTTGCTAGAATTATGCATTGTGTCAAAAAAGGTATACTAATCATATAATTCTTATAATCTTAATTTTGAGTGACTTGAACCTTTTAGAATAACTACTTCCAATTTATATTTCCTGCGTCGATATCGACACCTTCGTGAACTAAGAAGAAATGAATCAAAGCTCGCAACAACGGAAGCATTACAGAAGATGAGCAGTTGATTGCAAAAACCCTATTAAGGAAGTAGGTATTACTTATTTTTAGAACTACTATTATTTATTTGTAGAACTACTAGGAACAAAAGGATCCCTCCCATATTAAACAACTGTTACCGTTACGACCTGTTAAAGTCCTCTGCTGAACATAGGCCTCGCCCATTGATTGCCCCATGGGGGGATATTTGCCACAATTACCACGCTTGGCAAGTTGGTAGACAACAGCAGTTTTTTTATTTTTAGTAGTTATTAAGAAAACGCTGCTGCCCATCTCCTGATTTGTTTCCCTCTGTCGTCTCTTACGACACCCTCGGGATTGGATGATATGGGATAGTGGATATTCTTACACCGCCACTACTAGGTAAATATTAAATAAAGTATAGCTAAAATTTATAGAATAATAATATTTAATCGCGTGTAAGCAATTTTATTCGAAGTGACCTCATTTAATTACAATGTTTATTACATTTTGCATGTATTATGACTGTCATCACTTTTGTTAGAAAATTTAAATATAATTAAGAACTGATATTTAATTCCATCTATGTCCATTTCGTAACAAGTTGTTTACATGTAATGAAACGTAACATCGTGTTAATAAGTGTTCAATTATATCATTAAACTTTTGTAATTATGAGTGTTTCTATTTTATAGTGTTAAATTTCATTAGATGCATTACGCATTTCTCACGATTTAAACGTGTCAAGTTTTATTTAGACTTAGTCACCGTATTCATACATATTTTCGTGTTAGAGAGGACAACATAATTAAATCAACGAAAATCCTCGCATTTTTTTAAACCGCAATCACAGTCATCTCATGTACACATTTGTCAGATAAGTAGGCGACTAGAAACTGCGTCAAAAGCGCGAGACATCTGGTACTCCTATTACCAATTCACGTATCGTTGTGGCCATTATAGAAAATGAGAGGTCCACTTCCTAGTTCATAAGTAGACCATCAGCTGATAAGGATGACGAAAATTGTTTTACGTGGGGCAATCCTAGAGATATAATATGTTTAATCATAACTCTACTTATCCATTTCATTACAGCCTATAAAAGCCCACTGCTAAACATAAGCCTACATCATAAATTTCTTTATAGGGGATTTTGCCATAGTTGCCACGCTTGGCGAGCGGGTTGCCAAACGCCGTTTTTTATTATTTTGAGTTGTTATGAGGAAGATGCTACTACATCTCCCATTTGATTTTCCCTCTGTCGCCTCTTACGACACCATTGGGACGGTAAGAATATCCACTACCCCATGTAGTGGATATTCTCACACTGCCCCTACATGGTTAAATGGTTTCATATTATGTTATCGCGATTATACACATTGAATGAAACAGTTCTTTACCAATCGGAATTCGCTAAAGGTCATACAGGTTTATGCACCAACTCGGCAGATCCTGATGATGAGGTTCCTCCAAAACCCACTATACGGTGTCAATGGGGGACTTCAACGCAAAACTAGGCACAAGAGAGAACGGTGAGCTGAAAGTAGGGAAATTCGGAATAGGGCAACGGCACACAAGGGGCCAGCAGCTGGCTGACTTCATGGAGAAAGAGGGACTCTTTATGATGAACTCTTTCTTCCAGAAGCGGCCTCACAGGAAATAGACCTGGTCGGTTCGACAAAAAATGAGATTTCATTATGAAGGCTAGACGGCAACTGTTCAGTGATGTCTCAGTGATCGCGAGGTTGAAAACTAGCAGCGATCACCGAATGGTTAGAGGCACACTGAATCTAAACGGTCCTTCACTGCTGGCCACTGGAAAATGGTCTTCAAATTGGTGCTCCACCTTTAAAACCTAGAACAAATTACCTTTTTTCATTATCATATACTTTAATTATTTTAATTATAATTACTATTTTAGTAGGATATTTAATATTTATTTTATTATCGTAATAAATTTATAAAAGGGTCAATAGGGGTAAATGCAAACCTCATCACTCAAACTCCATCTTCATTGTCGTAATACTTTTTATTAAATAACTCCACAGTTATACCATTTATTGGGGTTAATTAAGCGTTTATTAAATAACTATTGCATGCAGAAATAAATTATAACATTTAAAACTAAGTGTTTTTAAAATATTTTTTTAAGAAAAGTGAGTAACGTTATTGCATTTCCCCAGTCAAAAGGGGCAAATGTAATAGCAATGTGGGATTTATTTACAGATGAAATCTAAAAGAATTGGGGGTAATTGCAAGAAAATTCAAAATTGGCTCTACACTTTGGTTTTTATTTGAAGAAAATAGGATAACAAATTAGGGAGATATAAATTTTTCTTAAAATTAAATACATACTAATTAAACAATCGATATTTTTGAAATCATAATCAAAGGTTATAAGGCCCCGTTTCGTCATTTTTGGGTTAGGCAAAATTTTAATTATACAACCTGTATCAATTAAGTCAAAATCTTGAACCTCCGGCCATATGAAAGCTTTTTTGCCCCGTCTTACATATTGAACTTCCCAGCAATCGTCGATTTTGTCTTTTATGATACCTACATAATATTTATTTGACCTCTTTAAGGAGTATTTCACTATCACCCATTTGCCTGTATGTAAAGATAAATCTAAATCGTCCTTCCTGATGCTGTTTAAATTTTCCTCATCTAAATTTTCTTTGTCTGAATTTTTTTCAATATCCATCGGATCTTCTTGCTGTAGAAACTGTGGCTGTGGCTCTTCCCCCTCAAAAGGTAATATATCATCTTCCCCAGAACACAGCGGATCATTTCCTTGCAAGTATTCAGAAAAATCACTTTCACCTGACTCAGCATAGACAATTTCCGATTCTAAATCTGTACTATCGCTGTCTGCTCTTTTTTTATTTTTCTTGTCTTTATTTCTCTTTCTTTTGGCTTTTTTGTTTTTATTTTTCTTCTCTTCTACATCTTTTAGTAGAACTTCAAGAATTTCATGAGAAGTAATGACCTGAGCGCCTGATGCAACTTTCCGTTTCCTTTCCTTCGGTGGTAAACGTTTTTGATGGATAGAAGATAAAATTATGCCTTCTATTGAAGAGTGTTCTAAGTTGCTTTTGCCAGATGTTCGTTGGCTTTCACCAGTCATCGATGAAATCGAATAAACTTGCAAATTATCTCTGTTTTCCAGGGCTTCTTCCGAGAAATTCTCTCGAGAAGACGAGATCGAAGGAAGGCTACATACTGATGCCATAGGATTGGCCATTACTTGCGAGTTTTCCCAGCGTTCCAGGGATTCTTTGGAAAAATGATCTCTAGGAATTACGTTGGGGTTAAAAGGGTAAATTCCAGCCTTGCTAAAGCCATTGGCTATACAACTTTCGGAAACTTTAATCCAAGTTTCCCCTAAATATTGAGAGAATAAAGATTTAGGCAATCTCTGCCCAATATGCTGCACTTGCCATTTTGTTACTGTTTCATCCCAATTTGCTTTAAAGAATTTAAAGACAGAAACATCCAATGGTTGCAGACGATGGCTGGTGTGCGCTGGAATTTTAAGAATAGTTATGTCATTGGCCATCGCTGTTTCCACAAGATCAACAGAGAAATGTGTGGCATGACCGTCATATAGCACTAACATAGGTCATTCACTGCCAAGAGCTGGAATAAGGGTCTTCTTGAAATAATTAGTGAAAATCTCTGTTTCCATCCAACCATTCGGGCTCGCGGCGTAAGCCGTCCCTGGAAATTCTTTGTCTGTAGGTGCTCGCCATTGGTCCCACATATTTTTACCTTTAAAGATGATTAATGGTGGAATCCTATGACCAACGGCATTGGCGGCTAAAACAAAAGTTGTGTTTTCTTTCCCTGTAGTGCTGATTACTCTAGACACACTTCGGCCTTTTTCTCCGACAACTTTTGTTCTTGCTGGGTCAATACTTAAGCTACTTTCGTCAAGGTTCCATATGTTTTGGGGCTTATCTTTTAACTTTAAGTCAGTGAGAGTTCTTTCAAGAAGATCGAAATATCCAAAATTTATAAAGGGGTCAGTTACAGCTTTTTTTCTGGAGTATTCCAAAGGTTCAGGCTTCCGGATCGACAAAAGATGGCGTCTTTTAAATCCTAGGAACCAGTCCTCACCTGGAACGCCATCTTTGAAAGGCGTTTTTAAATTGTTTATTTTAACATATTGCCCTACCAATTCCATTATCTCTTTTCTGCTTAGGCCGAAACCCCACTTAGCCAACGTTTTCACTGAGGTAGCTAGAGTGTATTCTATATTTTCAGGGAGAACAGTTGTCCTGCCTTTCGACTTTTTTATTAATCCTCTCGTACCCTTATAACGGCAGTATAGCGTTGAAAATGGTATTTTATATACTTTAGAAGCTCTGTTAACTGTCATAGTATGGGCTCTTATCTCACTAAGAGCCCTCTCCAGTTTTTCTTCCGTGTAATTAGGTTCTACAATCTTTTTTTTTACATAATGCCGTACCATCTGCAACAAACAACACAAAAGGGGTAAATGCAATGGGTTATTACATTTACCCCTTTCGTGGTTAATGCATTAGCCCCGATCTGCTATTTGTGAGGGGCAAATGTAATACCTACCTCAAAGTTTACACTTTTAGTCATTTTGCCAAAATACTGATATAAAACGGCTAAGAATATGTTAATTAACTACACTTGTAAAAAAAAGCTTAAAATTTTACCTTGCTTGAACGGATTAATGTCGATTTATTTATCGTAGTCCAATTTGTCCTTTAAGAAATAAGCGAACGTCGTGATGTATGAAATGTCACATGACGCCGTGTCGATAAAACAGTATTTGAAAGTGCTTGGCTTACCGTCGAATTAGTACACTACACGTTCCAGAGATGACAGCACCAGCAAAGCATCATAGATAAAAATGTAGACGCTTATTACTTTTACCCCGTTTTTACATTTACCCCTACTGACCCAATCTATTTTTATTAAAACGACGCCTGCAATTACATTAATTTTTATTGCTTTACCTTCTTTACGTTTATTATATTTATTAGATGAACTTAATAATCCTATAAGTACTTTAGAATCTATTGGACATCAATGATATTGAAGTTATGAATATTCAGATTTTAATAATATTGAATTTGATAAATACCCCTGAAAATGTTCGTTTATTAGATGTTGATAATCGAAATATCTTATCTATAAATAATTAAATTCGAATCATAGTAATTGCTACTGATGTAATTCATTCATGAACTATTCCATCATTAGGAGTAAAAGTAGATGCCCGGTCGATTAAATAAAATCAGATTTTTTATTAATTGACCAGGAATTTCCTGTGGTCATTGTTCAGAAACTCGTGGAGCTAATCATAGTTTTATGCCTATTGTAATCGAAGGGCCACTGGAAGCTCAAGTTCGCTTAGCGAGCTACGGAGAGGGCTATGCTCGGGGTTTCTCTGCGTGATAAACTTAAAAACAAGGATATCCGCAGTAGAACCAGATTAACAGACATATCCCAACGGATTAGTAAGCTGAAGTGGCAATGGGCCCGCCATATAGCCCGAAGAATCGACAACCGGCGGGGAAAAAACGTTCTCGAGTGGCAGTATCGTGTGTATGTATTTATGAATGTAATGTGGAGGAGTTTCGACTAAGCCGCTTGTCGTGCCGCGAGGTCGCCACTCCTCATGTTCCTCAAATGTGCTGTCCAGTTTGATTAGCCAAAAGTTCGCTTTTAAATTTTCTTAATTTTGTAACTTGATGTTTTAAGAGGTGACCATCACTGTACTGTGAGCTCTTTTGTTATTTGAGTTTTATAATAAAACGTTTCATTTTGTGCTAGCACTCACACATACGTTATATGTGTATACATTTTTGCATTTAATTAAATAATAATGTGAAAAAAATTATGCAATCAAAAATAAGCTATATAATTTTATTACTATCAAACAAGATCAAGATAAAGTGAGTTTCAGATAAATGCGCAACTATAAAAGACGGTAACTATTTCATTGTAATGTTAACTTTTCAATAATATTACTGATTGAATGTGTCATTTATTTTGTTCACAAATATAATGAACATATTAATTAAAGTGTTTGTTTTGCTTATGCTGTTCAGGCAGGTAATGTTATTTAATGTAATATTCTACTATAATTGTTTATGGTTAGTAGTTGTATTTAGTTTTTCTAAAGAACAAAAAAGTTATTAGAAATATTGTTTGAGAGAGAAAATCTTAAGTGTCCACACCGTGAAAATAACTACGGAAAACGTCGAAATGGACCTTGGCTTTCAAAAAAGCGTAAAAACTATTTAAAATAAATCATAGATCAGTTGAACGAAAAAAGAAACAAATCCTAGTTGAAAAAAACTGTAAAAAACAAAAAATTTAAGCTTGTCACGTGTTAGTAGAAGTAGAAGACCGAGCGGTAAATTGAGTATATTATCTAGAGAGGGCTATAGTTGTGTTTTATTAATAAATAAATCAATATTCAGTGGCTGATCCTTTGGTCGTAGTGCGGCGTTTTGTATGTTATATTTCGGCTCCTTGTAAATTACAATTTATGTCTGTCGTCTAGTTTTTAGTAAGCAAAGAACAATAGCACCTGCTAGATGATGTTGTTATCATCATCATCAACATTCATAAGATGTACATTGCATAACTGAATGTTTTATATGGGCAAAATTCATTAAATGCAACAGAATTTTTGTCTTTCTGTATTTAACAATTAGTATTTCTGTCTTATTTCGGTGCAGATATGTAATTAGTGTGTTTGGAAAAGTACGTGTGTAACATCATTATAATTTTTTTTCAGGCTGCTTTTGGTCAACTCACCACTATACCTTTAGGCGTAAAGTGCGGATGTGTTGATGTTCCACTTGCAAAAAAATCTCACATACCACTTCCATCGAATATTGGAATTCAAAATAACTTGGTCAGACAATTTGCAGGTCACTTGCCAGTTGGCAATACTTTGAGTGGTTTAGACGGATTGTCATTGACAAATGGACGGTCTGTTTTTACTACGCCACCTGTTGTCAATACTGCGACAGTTTTAAATGGTATGCAAGTAACTCCAATGCCAACAGCAAACAATGCTCGTTTTTCCATTTCTTCAAATTTGCCTACATGCCAAGGTAACAATCTGGCCGGTTTTTTTATTACTCCATTAGTAAATACTCAAGAAGGTAATTTTGGAAATAGCGGCAGTGTTCTTCGTATTGGCAACATTGCTAATGTTGGCAATTTAGATTTAGCCAATATTGGTTTACAGTTGGTACCAAGCAGTGGCATAGCAAATATGCCAGTACGATTACGAAGAAATATTCAAAGAAATAGTTTGCATATTGGTGGCATTTGAAATTCAGCAAACCATATCATTCAACAACTTTAATCTAATATCCAGAAAAAAAGTGTTAGATAAGTTTTAAATTATAATTTTTATTTATTTTTGTTGTTAGAATTATTATTTATTACAAATTAAACACTTCTGTATTTTTTTTTTGTATTTTATTGTTCTAATCGAAAGATACGTCAACTTTAAAAAAAAGTTAGAGGTTCCTAATTAAGTACTTTAAAACTAGACTCAAACTCCGGACCGAATTTCATTTACGGGGCCAGTCTCAACGGAGACTATCCAACTGCACAGACAGGATTGTCATAGTGAACAAGTATGTACGCAAGCACAGATGCACTTCCTATTCTCGCATTCTCATCACTGTCACAGTACAGTACGAAGAGACGGCAATCCGACGGCTTAACGTTCTTTCCGAGGCACGGGGTGAAACATTGCCATCTTCCTGACTCTGGGGTCCTACTGAGAATTACATAAGAGAATATCTAATAAATGATTTTGTTTCGACTCGGGGTTCGTACCCGCCCGCCGTATTATGACGAGCAGTCGCGCTTAATACCACTGGAACAACGAGGTAGTCTTATTGTATATATCGTAGGATAATTTGATAAACCGAATTTACCGCAAAAATATAGGGATATCGCGAAAACAGGGATAATTAGACATTTCTCAATCTTACTGAAAAATATAGGGGTTTTTGTAAAAACGCCACTCGCTTTATTAAAGATTGCGAAAAGAATCGTTGGTTATTACGATATTATATAAACGATGCACAATGATTGGTCAGTCAGATCGCCCAAAACAACGTCTTATCTGATTGGTGGTGGATTGACGACTTGACGTTTCAATTGAAAATCCTTTGTCCTTTCTGTCGCCCTCGACAAGAAAGTCGAGCCAAGAAAAAACGAGCACTCGAAAGCACCAAGTGGTCCGGCCACTCCAAAGTCGCGGAGGATAGTCGAGTGGCGCATTACCACACCAATAATCCTCTTCCCTTGCGACACCACCTCAGCTGCAGCGATATAGAGAGAGAGGATTCTCCTCTAGCCGCAGCTCACTAACACACATCCAAGGGCTCAACAAGCCCACTCAGAGTAACCACCTTGGGCCAGCCCTTCACTTGCCACTCAGCCGTGTGAGTCACCCTACGTTTACCATGGGTTACAAAGCCACGACTACTAAGTCCTCCACCTCCCCCCGCCACGACATGGCGGGAATCCGTTCAGGGCGGAGTTATTTCTCACCTAAACTCACGCAAACTCACTAAGGACATTAAAAATTTTGCAGTTCCAATATAAATTTATTCCCTTGATACAATAAATTAAAACTTACGTCTTGTAAACACAAAGTCATCATCAGGCGACCTTTCTACACTTGGCTATGGACCTTGAGTCTGGGGGAAAATAAGTAGAGAAGAAATAAAAAACATTCGAAATAATAATCTTATACTTTTATTCTTACTGGTACTGGTACTACCAGAAAATATTGTGGGTACACTGCACTTTTTCAAAGCGTTTCTCATGTCCAATAAAAAGTCGTCTGTGAGGTGGTTAGAACAAAGGTACTAATTTTGTTTCGGACGCCATTTCACAATTTTTGTGCTTTTTAGCCATAATTTTAGTATAGGTTCTAGTTCTAGGTAGGTTGGTTGTGAGCAGGTATAGGTAGAAAAAAAACATCGATAAATATTATAGACAAGGAACTCAACAACCCTATTAAATTTTTTTGTTTATCAAAACTCAGTAAGTAATACAAAGCCAAACATGTTGGTAATTACGATATTAAGATTAGTAACAAATTTTTAAGTACCTATATTATCAAAATGGTTTTAATTTGCTTAATATTAGCTGCAAATTCTATGGAATGTTATCACACTTTACGCACACTCTCATTATTACTAAAAATAATTCTTATTATGTAACTAAAATAAAACATAATCAAACCGCATAAAATCTTTCATTTTTTATTTTAAAAATTAAAAATACAGGGATATGACTTAAATAATACAACAGAATTTGGCATATTTTTCAATTTTAGTTCCCGGTACGGACAATGATGGCGCTTAAAATCGGCATAAGCTTTTTGTATGGCATAGCCAGTCCAGCGTACTTATATATATCTATATATATATATATACTACTGTACTTATA